GAAGGGTAACTGATGTGATACAGCAATTTGTATACGGGGTAAAAGCGGGAGTTCATAATCCACTTGAATCAAACCGTGTAATATGATGTATTAAGAACTATGTAATGTTATGAACGACCAATAAAAAAAAAAAAATGGGGGGAATAGAAGCCCATTTGGCTATTGGTGTAGAATTACTTTTGCCAAGTGATGAAACAATTTGCTCCTAAGGAAAGAATGGTGTGGGTGAGGGTCAGAGGTGAGAGGTTATTTCAAGATACATATGACATGAACAACGATCGTATAAAATGATAATCCAGGAACCCACTGGACTCTGCCCCTTGCCAAGGGAAGTACACGATGCACAAATTGTCTCAAGTCTTTTTTCTGCCCAGGGACATTGGAGGTTGGTACTTGGCTGTCCCTGTTTTGTTCCTGCTGGTGTGACTTCAAATCCTGCATCCTCCTTTTCCTATTGGAGATGGTTCATTGGTTTTCTCTGGGAGAACGAGCCCTGAGTCCTGTCAATCTTAGGCCCTTTGTTGGCAGCCTAAATAACCTGCAAGGAGAGACTCTGGAGGTTAAAGGGAACAGCTGTGCAGAAAACCCAAGGTTTGGGGGACAGTAATGCAAACGTGGATGCTAACCATTGAGGTGACCACTGCTATAAACTTGGAAGGGAGGGGAAGAAGCTCCTGCCTTGAGCCAGGGCCCATGGAGATGCCTCTGAGGGGCAGATTCACAAGCAAGAGGAGTCGTCCAGTATCACCAAATGATGCGAGGGCTCAAAAGCGAAGCTGGAATTCATGGTTTCTATGTGAACTGCCTCAATGGATAAGTTTTGGCCCTTCCTTCAAAGCTTATTAACAATAAAAAACAACACTGTGTAAGCCCCTCAAACTCCTCTGTCCGCTGAATCTGGCCCAGGCATGGCCAGGTGTGACCTCTGGTTCCAGGCCACAGGTCCATCTAGCTCCTTCCTACCCTAGCAGTCAGGAACCCAGGTCTCACTTGCTGTCCTATGAGAAGAGTTGAGAAGTCCTACCCAAAGGGACGAGCCCCCTTCCGGATACTGACATCTGGTGAGATAAAGTAGGGGTTTCCACTCTGAGAGACAGTAGGATCCGTGGCAGGAAAGATCCAGAGAACTCTGGAGACGGGCGGCACTGCCTTCTACCAAGGTCAAGATCCAGGTGGGTCCTAACTCCTAAGTTGGGGAGTGTTTTCCCAATGCTGAGCTTGCAAGGTGGCCCTGGCCAGTAATGGCCTCTTGGTTAGCCTCTCATGCCCAGCCTCAGGAGACGGTCCACCCACAAACACATTGCTACCCCCCTTACTACCCTCTTCCTTCCTCTTTTCTTACCCAAACTGCTCTTGGCCAGAGCCTCTCCTTGGGGAAATACCTCCCTACAAAAGAAGATTTTTACCACGAGAGGCAACTTCACCAGAGGTCGGTCAGAACAGGAAGGGGAAATGGGTCTGGCTCAGCCTTCTCCAGATGACCCACCCTCAGAGACAGAATGCTATTGTCCACCCTAGGATGCCCACGAGGACAGGTCCCATTAACCCAAAAGGGGTGGTGATGAATCGGGAACAGCTCCTTCTATGACAAATCCCAGGTGACTCCAAGCGCAGCTATCTGAAAGGCTTCTGAAGGTCTCCAGGAGGGCTGGCACCCTTCCTAAGTTCCACACAGTTCCTTTTTTGTCTTAGAACTAAGGGGGAGTAGGGTTTGGAGTCACCTAGATGATCTGTTAAAACACAAAGATGGACGAGTCCCAGAGCCCGAGAGCCCCGCTCTTAAAATCCCATATGGTTTCTTACCATCTTCTCTGTGGGGTTAACTTTATTTTCAAGATTAAATATTTTGTCTTCATTGCCTGAGGTTCTATCTTCCCAATGGTCTTGTCTGTGGGTGGTACTTTCCATTGAACATTTAAGTTGGTTTAGTGATTCCTTCCTTTCAATGATTCCTTCTTTGTATTTTCTCAGGACCTCTATTATATCTTTACAGAAGTGATCTTTCATCTCCTGAAGAGATTCTGTTATTTTACTGCAAAATTCCTGTGCCTGCTCTCTTATATAATTCTTTAAGTCGTAGAACATTTTTACTAAATACATCCGGAACTCCTTCTCTGACATTTCTTCGATGGATTCTCTTATGGGAGCAGCTTGGTTTGTTTGGAGCACTTTATTCCCTTGTTTTTTCATTTTGTTTGTGCGTCTTCCCATCTAGCCGGGTGGTTCTGAGGCAGGATAGTTTCTACTCTGTCGATCTGAAGTGTCCCTGAAGGTTTCCAGAAACTCACCTTTAAGGGAGAGACCAATATGAACCGCACCTAACGCACACAATATACAGCCTTAAACCACATCACTCCTATTAAGATGCCTAGAGTTTTGTTGCAATCCACAGAAATGATGTGTTCAGTTATTGTCTACAATATAAACAGTCAGTTTGCAAAAAAGGGGCTTACAATTTCAAATGGGGGACAAAGACAGAATAGAAGTGGTATAGCATGTGAAGGTTAGGAGGAAGGAGAAGAAAGATTATTATAGAAAGAGGAATTCATAGAGGTTGGCTATTAGCAGGAAAAAAGAATCCAGGAAACAGACAAGTGAGAGGGAAAAAAAATATATATGTAAATATATATATATATATATATATATATATATATATATATAAAGTATATATAAAAAAAATACAAATAAAAGGCTGGGCTTGGTGGTGCACACTTGTAATCCCAGTGCCTTGGGAGCCTGAGGCAAGAGGATCATGAKTTCAAACCAGCCTCAACAAAAAGTGAGRTGCTAAACAACTCAGTGAGACCCTGTCTCTAAATAAAATACAAAATAGGGCTGGGGATGTGGCTCCGTGGTTGAGTGCCCCTGAGTTCATTCAATTCCCAGTACCCAAAAATTAAAAAACGAAAAAAAAAAAAAAGTAAAAATAAAAGAATATACAACAAAACTGTAATATACTATTCAGACACCCAGGTCCTCAAGGAACTGATGCAAGAAAAACACTTGGTTTCAAAAATAGTAGAGATGTGAGTGATAGTGAAGCC